CACGTCTTCACAGAAAACATAAGAGGGAATACTTCCCAATTCCTTCTCTGAGGCAGGTATTAATTACCCCAATAGTAAGCTAGACAAAAATGTAAGATAAAAAACAGATTAAAATAACCAGGAAAATGCTAGAAACCAATTGAAGCAATGTGTGAAAAGAAATATTCATCATAACCATATGGAATTACCCCAGGAATACAAGATTGGCTTAACATAAGAAAATTAGTGTAATGCACCATTAAAAAAAAAAAAGACACTGCGTGATATGTTCAATAGATGCAGAAAAATGTGTTTGATATAATCCAGTAGTCCGTAAGAAATTTTCCCCATTAGGAACAGAAGGAACTTCATAAACATGCAAATAGCATCAGCAACCTACTCAGCATGCAATATAATAACACATTTTTGTACATAATAGGATGACATGATACACAGTGATGAAAAACTCTCATGCTAAGAGGACTGGGATTAGGGTGTTTGCTCTTGTTAAATTTATGCAGCATTATTTTGGCAGTTCTGGAGAAATTTGTGAAGAAAATGAAATGAGATGAAACCAACTTGGAGGGGAAAATAAATCTTTCAGATGATGATACTATGTTTTCTGAACATTCTAAATAATCCACAAAAAAATGTATTAGAACTAACAAACCAGTTTGGCAAAGCAGAATATAGAGGATCAATTTGTAAAAAAAATCTATTTTGTTCCTATATAACATCAGTGGGAAATTTGTAACTGAAACTGACAAAATTTTCATTTGCAAAAAAAATTCTTTACTCAAAGAATAAAAATCTTAGGAATGAATGGTGGAACAAATGTAAAAATTACACACTGGCAATTCAAAACATTATTGAAAGAAATCAAAGAGTAGCTAATTAACTGAGAAGCTAGTCTGTGCTCATGACTAGAAGACTTAATATTGTTAAGTCTTCATCTTCAGATTCAACACAATTGCTCTTAAAATCTCAACCGGCCCAGCACTCGGGAGGCAGAGCCAGGCGGATCTCTGTGAGTTCGAGGCCAGCCTGGGCTACCAAGTGAGTTCCAGGAGAGTCGCAAAGCTACACAGAGAAACCCTGTCTCGAAAAACCAAAAAAAAAAAAAAAAAAAAAAAAAAAAAATCTCAACCGGATTCTTTGCAAAAGTAGACTAGTCCTAAAGTTCATATGGAGTGCCAGGGACCCATTTTGTCATTTATGTGGTGATTGAATTTTTCCATACCCTCTATCTAAAGCATCCATTTACCCTCTGTGATTTAAAATAAATGAACCATCATAAGGATGTACAAAACTGGGCCTCGTTCTACAACCTTGGAACCTGAGGCAGGAGGATCAGAAGTTCAGGACCAGCTTGAGATACACAGTGAGATCCCATGGGAAAAAGAAAAGAGATGAGCTGCAGGCCCAAACTGACAAAGGGGATGGATGTATTTATAAACTCACTATTTTCCCAGCTCTAAAGACCTTTTAATGAAATAGTTGAGAGCAGATTGAAGAGATTTTGCTTTTTTATATCACCACATAGTAACTGCACAAGATACTTGTTTGCTTGCTTATTTCCTGTCTTAATATTTTGAAAGGCATAAATATTATTTTAAAGACTATCCCCAAATGCTGGTGTCCTTGTTTTCCTCATGACTAGATTTGGATGATTTATTTTTGATGGACATACCACAGAAATGATCCAATAGCCTCAATGCATCATCTCAGGAGCACATGGAGTCAGTTTCTCCTGATGTTGGTGATGTTATGATGATTCTTCCAGGACTCTCCACTGTAAAGTTATTATTTTGTCTTTGAAATTGTTAAGTAGCTTGCCATGAGATATTTCGGCACGATTTAACTATCCTGTAGTTTACATAACTTTTTGTGATACCTATTCCCTAAAATAACCTTTAATTAGGATTGTTCTAATTGGCATTATTCTTCTGTATTTATTATTTTGGGCATCCTGTGGTGGGAAAGAGGTTTTCCTCCTTATTTATAACATAATGAACTGATGCATTTTAACTTAATTGATGAATTATGCCCATTAATTTGTAGATTTTTAAAAGTTGATGTCCAAAATAAGCTGTCCTGGATTTGGCAAGGAGGATTCATCAAGTGTATGTCTGTGAAATGCTCCTGCCACTCTCTCTTTGAATATTCTTGCATTCTAGCATGATAAGACACTAAGTTAATCCTTTATCTGTTAATTTTTATATCAGCTACTTTTCCAAAAAGTTGTATTTACTTTAGGGTCACAATTCTGTTCAGAAGCCAAGATCTAGATCTTAGATGTCCTATTGCTGTCAGAAGGGCATGTCGACAGGAGTGCATTGAATACAATTTCTGGTCCCTCGTGGAGACACTCAGTGACTTGTTTGTGCTTTAAAAGAACAAATGCCCTTAATTTCTGAAAACTAGGAAATAATTTCACAAATAAAAAATTATATATCTTAGAACATATTTTCTGTTGAGTATTCTATATTACAGCCATTTACAAAAAAAAAAATCTTTGACCTACTAAGGATTGATGGAGAAGGAGGAATAAAAAACTGTTTTTATGAGATCTTTGCAAGTACTTTGAAGGACCTGTCATTTGCCTTTGAAGTCTTTAAAAGTTTGATATAATTGCATCTTTGGGACATTATCCCTGAAGGATGAGAAGTTTCAAAGCTCTGTATATTATTGCTGCTGAACTTTAAATTGTTCAGGGACAACAAGTATTCCCCAAAACAACAAGTGATTTAAATTTACATGGTATTGCAGTTGTGATCCTTTGGTAGTTTTGGTTATGTTGGTAACAGCAGGTCATTTTGAAAGAAATGAATTGCATAATTGATTTTTCTGTAACATTTCACATTTTAAACACACATGTATATTCATTCTTCTTTGGAAATAACTAACCATAACTTATCGAGTATATAATAAAACATTTTTATTTGGCATTTATAGCACAGAATTCAGGTGGGAGAACTATTTTTCCTTGGTTACTATTTTTGTGCAGTACAAAAGTATCAAATTCTGAACACCCAAGCTAATGTTGGTCTTTTTTTTTTTTTTCCGCTAACAAGAGTTTTATTAAAGGGACAGAGAGTGAGCAGGCCTGTGGGAAACACGTGTGTGGAGAAGAAGGAGGAAGAAGAAGAAGCGCTAATGTTGGTCTTAACAGCAGTATATAATTTACTTCTTTAAAATAACTTTTTATAATAATTTACTTGACAGGGATTTTACTAAGTATTAAATTTTACAGAAAAATTCACAAGAAATAATTTGTCAACTAATGTAAGAATTAACTATTATTGATGGAAGAAAATATTAAGAAGAGAAGAAAAAAACTATGTTTGGTTATCATAGAAAAGAGGAATTCTGAAGTTTTTCTGGGATACTAAAGCTGTATTTGGTGTTACTGATAATATTTGGACTTGCAGTGTAAGCTGCTTAGGAATTAATTAGTAAAACAGGAAAAATAAATGAAAGCACTTGTTAACTGAGTAGAAATGAGCAACGATGGAGGGAGAGGGGAAGATGATGTAATGTGATGGAGGCGGTTTGAAAAACTGTATGTCTCTAGCATCGATACAATAGGACATTGTGGTGTTGTTACTCTGTCCACCATCTCCGAGGATGTCAACTCTAAAGGTGGAGAACGAGGAGAAGGCTGATTGTAGTGACCAAAACCCTGAAACAAGGAAAGGAAACGAAGGCTGAGTTATTGTAACATTGAGCATCTGATGGGTGGGTTTTTCTATGAAAAAGTGAAGAGATAGCAGTATGCATGGTGGGATGGCAGTGAAGGGAATATTTAAGAGCATGTGTGTTTGAAGAAAGATTGTAGAGGATCGGAAGGGAAAGAAAAAGTTTGAAGGTGATAATGAGCAGTGGAAGTCAAAAGCAAGGTACGTTTTCTGGAATAACTTTTGTTAATGTAACATGGAAAAAATAAAATCTGAAGTGCCTCTTTTACAACTTGTATCATCCTTAATTCTATTTTCAAAGAACTCTTAAATAAATTTTCTAAAAGACTTTAATTTCTACATTTCCTAGAAATCCATTGATTTTAAGACATAGTAAGAGAATTACCTGTATAAACTTTTTTTTTTAGAACTCTTTAAGTATGAAGTATGGGGCTCAATACTGGAGGAAACTGTGTAATGGATATATCAGTGTTTAAATGAGGTGAGATTTTTTGCTTCACTTATAAAATGGTTCTTAAATGTAATCACAATGCTTTAAACAATATCATCCTTTTTGAAGCAAGTTTTATAAGCTGTTAACTAGACAAAGTTCATTTAGACCTAGTCCTCTCCCCTCCCCTCCCCTCCCCTACCCTCCCCTTCCCTCCCCTCTCCTCTCTTCTTTACTCCCTTCCCCTCTGCTCTCTTCCCCCTTCTCTTCTCTTTCTCTTCCTCCTCTTCCTCAGAGTTTGTTTTAAAATTCATTCATTTCTGTCAACATTCCTTCCTTCATCCACTGAAGAGCATTCCTGATTTTTAGGATGAGCTGTCACCTCTTCAAGTATGTGACCTACTTTGCTAAATTGTGTTCAATTTACAAAGTTCAAAATGGACTTATCCAAGCCGGGCGGTGGTGGCGCACGCCTTTAATCCCAGCACTTGGGAGGCAGAGCCAGGCGGATCTCTGTGAGTTCGAGGCCAGCCTGGACTACCAAGTGAGTTCCAGGAAAGGCGCAAAGCTACACAGAGAAACCCTGTCTCGAAAAACCAAAAAAAAAAAAAAAATGGACTTATCCAATGTCCATTTACATTTTTCTTCATTTGGTCACTTTCACACTTTTATTGAAAACCTGCTGTTCCAAGGATGGGATTATGGGCTGACATAAAATATTAAATTGGCTTTCTTTATTCTAATTCATTGTTTTCTAAATCTAGTTGTGGAGTAATCAAACAGATCAAGCTGTCTCTTCCCCTTAGATTAAAAAACCACACTATCCTGTAATGTGTGTGTGTGTGTGTGTGTGTGTGTGTGTGTGTGTGTGTGTGTGTGGTGAAATTGTACTTTCCTAGCTAAACGAACATTGCATTTACTTACGTTCCTCAGATGAAATGAAAAGACTTACTAGATAACTATCGGTGGTGGTGCTAGGAAGGAAATGCAAGGAGAAAATTTCACTGTTTGGAGCCTTTTTTTCCTGGAGGGATTTTCCCGGTACCCAAGGTTAGAGATTGTTCTGTTTGTCTTCAGCCTTGTAATGTATTTGGTTACCCTCCTGGGTAATAGTACTCTTATTTTAATCACTGTCCTGGATTCGCGCCTTCAAACCCCCATGTACTTGTTTCTTGGAAACCTCTCTTTCATGGATATCTGTTACACATCTGCTTCCATTCCCACTTTGCTTGTGAACTTGCTGTCATCCAAGAAAACCATTATCTTTTCTGGGTGTGTGGTGCAGATGTACCTATCCCTTTCCATGGGATCCACGGAGTGCATACTTTTGGCTGTGATGGCCTATGACCGTTATGTGGCCATCTGCAACCCGCTGAGGTACCCCATCATCATGAACAGGCAAGTCTGTGTGCAGATGGCCACCGTCTCCTGGGTGACAGGCTGTCTCACTGCCCTGCTGGAAACTAGTTTTGCCCTGCAGATTCCCCTCTGTGGAAATGTCATCGATCACTTCACATGTGAAATTCTGGCGGTGCTAAAATTAGCTTGCATGAGCTCACTACTCATGGACATGGTTATGCTGGTGGTCAGTATTCTCCTTCTGCCCATTCCAATGCTCTTGATTTGCATCTCTTATGGCTTCATCCTTTCTACGATTCTGAGAATCAGTTCAACAGAGGGAAGAAACAAGGCTTTTTCAACTTGTGGTGCACACTTGACTGTGGTGATCTTATATTATGGAGCTGCTCTCTCCATGTACCTGAAGCCTTCTTCATCAAACTCACAAGAAATAGACAAGATCATCTCATTGCTTTATGGAGTGCTTACCCCTATGTTGAACCCAATAATTTACAGCTTAAGAAACAAAGAAGTAAAAGATGCTGTGAAAAAACTGCTGGGCAAGGTGCCATTGGTACCAAGTGTGTGACTCTCCCAAGGATTTGCCATTGGCAGAACTCAGCAGAGAAATTCTAAACACCATTCAGCCCTTTTGGATTCTGACCTGAATATTAGCTCTGAAAATTCACAGTCATGAGGTATTTGTACACAGAGTAATTTATTATGGATGTAGTAGGTCCCAATGTTCACCTACTAATATTTCTTGTCTTTGGTGCCTCATAGTTGGGAGGGCATCAATTCAGTCACTGAACATTTGCTGCAAAAGCAAACTTAGATAAATGTAGTCAGTGAATCTTAGTGCCAGAAGAAATATCTTCTTTGTTCCAATCACTTGTAGAATGGGGTAGGAGCCTAAAGATATAAACCAAACAACTAAAGGAATAATAAAGATGTTGGCTTGATTTTGAAAGCAAGGAAATGAAATTAAAGGAAAATGAAAAGACTTGGTCAACACTGCACTGTGCAAACTTTGATGACAGTCCCCCTGTGACTTCTTGGGCAGCGCTTATTCTGCTCCGTGGTGGTAGCTTCTTTAGTGCTCATTAAAACCCCATCTTCCCGAGGAAGGATCTAATAAGGCCCGCTTCATACCTGCCTGCCAACTTTGCTTTTTCTAGGCAAACCTGTCCCTGTGAAATTATACTTTCTGTGTATTAAATCTGTTCATTCATTCATTGTATTTTTCTTCATTGGATGACTGACTTCACAATGGCTATCATGGAAACTTTTGTTCTAGAAACAACATTTTTTTTCCATAGACACCTCAGCCATCCCAGTCTAATTGTACAAACACTCCCTGCTACTTTCAATGGCATTTTTTGAGGTGAAATTTTAGAGCAGGCTTTCACTAGACTGGTATTAAATTTGCCTTTAGAATAACTGAATTGTCTGTTCTCGAACTTGTTACAATTGTGCTAAATATAAACAATAATGGAGACAGAGACAGATGAAATCTTAACTGAAAGCATGACACTGAAGAGAACCTGGAAACACAGAGGTGGAGCAGCCCCATGTGATATATCTGCTTTGCTACAAGGAGGTGAGCACATTGACATGGGACCAAATCTTCTGACTGGCATATGACCAGAAGAGGACAGACAGGCATCGCAAGTGTCAGAAGAGGAACATGGGAGAGACTGGGCAGCTAGCTCTTCAGCAGAGCTCCGCTAAGGCAATAGTGATCCAGCTGCATGTTTCATAAAGTTGCTGTGAATGATAAATAAAGATACAGGTACATTTTACAGACTGTATGTGGTACTGAAGTTAACTATTAGTAAATGGTCCATTCTTTCTCTGGGTTAGGTTCCACCTCAGCAACATAGTTACAACTGTTACTTTTACAGAGTCTCAGGTAAGGGATGCTCTTCAAGCATTGACAAAAGAGAGAAATATTTGACAGAGAAGGTAGAACTATCTCTAATTGAGTCAATTCTTTCATGAGTGATGACATGTCCAGATTTATGCTCTAGAAAATTCTGATCACGTTGCTTCTCTACCCATTGACGTAATACTGGAAGTCGTTATGATGGTAGGCAAAGACTTCCATGATTTGACTGCTTGCCATTCACATCCTTTACTTTAGATACACTCAAATTCTTGGTGTAACCAGTGTACACTTTCTCTTGGTTCCCCACCTGTGAGACGTGGAGAAGGCTCAGTTGGCACAGTACTTGCCATGCAAGCACAAAGGAATGAACTTAGTCTCCAGCACTCATGTAAAAAAAAGAAAAAAGGAAAAAAAAGGCTGGAGCAGGGCTGTGACATCTTTGTAATCTCAGAACTGGGGATTCAGAGCAAGTGGGTCTCTGGGCTTGCTGGCTATCCAGCTTAGTCTACTTGATGAGTTCCAAGCCAAGAAGAGCTGCTGTCTCAAAAAAAGTGGATTGTATGTACTTGGGAACAATATCTGAGGTTATCCTCTGACTTCAACATTTGTGCATACGTACCCATCCATATATGTTCTTAGACATACAAAAACACATACAAAAAAATCACAACTTGTAATGGAATAGTAATTTTTGTTTTTTGTTTTTTCAAGACAGGGTTTCTCTGTGTAGCCCTGGCTCTCCTGGAACTCACTCTGTAGACCAGGTTGGGCTCTAACTCAGAGATCTGCCTGCCTCTGCCTCCCAAGGGCTGGGAATAAAGGCATGTGTTACCATTGCCTGGCTGGAATAGTAGTTTTTAATTTTGTTTCCTTGATGATCTTCTTCACTGCCCTGCAGGTTCACTACAACAAGAACTGTATCAGCTTTCTTTATCACTGTATACCCAGGACTAAGCACAATGTCTCCACAGAGGAGACATTCAGTGTACCTTTTGTGAAGGACTAAGTGTTCCATGAACATCTTTCATATAGCAATATACATGTAACAAACCTTTGATAGCTATTTAGTAGGTACTTGGCCATCCCTCTATTGAACATCTCTTTTACGGCTATTGGTGGTTGGTGGTGATGAGAAGTGTGTTCATCTAGACCTTTAAAAATAAAGTTGTTATCAGTTTTTAGCATGGAATTTAAAAAAAAAAGATTTGTGTGTGTGTGTGTGTGTGTGCACATGTGTGCAGGTGCCTCCAGAGGTCAAAAGAGGGCGTCAGATCCTCTGGAGCTAGAGTCGCAGGTGGTTTATAAGTCACTCAGTGTGGGTGCTGGGAACCAAACTCTGGTACACTGTAAAAGTAGCAAATGCCCTTAACCACTAAACCACCTCTCCAGTCCCCTTAGCGTGGAATTAACATTTTTCTTTATTTTTGAGATTTCATTCGTGTGTACAATGAAATATGATCATATATATTCCCACGTCTCCTTCCAACTCCTTTTTTACTTCTTCCACCATCCCCTCCAAGCTTCAGCCTTCTTGGTGTTTCTGATAACACACTAAGTCCAGTTCATACTGCCTATGTGTGCGAGAATGTGGGCCATCTACTGTAGCATGGGAAACAGCGGCCACACCCTCAATAAAAGAATGGCTTCCGCTGGGCAGTAGTGGCGCACGCCTTTAATCCCAGCACTCGGCAGGCAGAGCCAGGCGGATCTCTGTGAGTTCCAGGCCAGCCTGGGCTACCAAGTGAGTCCCAGGAAAGGCGCAAAGCTACACAGAGAAACCCTGTCTCGAAAAACCAAAAAAAAAAAAAAAAAAAAAAAAAAAAAGAATGGCTTCCCTCCCCAGCAACTCTCTACTGTCACTAGCTCCTTAGTGAGGCATGGGGTCTTGAGGTCATCCACCCATACACACACACCAGTGTTAGGCCGGTTTGATCTCGTGTGGGTACACAGCTGCTGTGAGAACATCACAGTGATACCCACACCGTGTCCAGAAGACAGCATTTCCCAGCTCTTCTTCCCGTCCTTTGGCTCTTACATGCTTTCCCCCTTCTCCTCCACAATGTTCTCTGAACCTTGGTGGTGGCGGGACTGATAAAATCACCCCATCTAATTAGTGTGGAACTTTTAAAACCAAGCCACCTTACTTTCCCAATAGAAGGACACACTGTTAGAAAATACTTATCTATTTCAATACTAGGAATGATTAAAGCAAGACTTTGATAATACAGTTGCTCAACTTAATGACTGAGATGGAGAAATGTACTCTGAATGAAAGAATACTCCAAGGTGTTTATAATTGGCTGTGTCTGATGGTTTGGAATTGTGTTCCAAACAAAAGAAGTATTTGTCTATGCACAGAGGAGAGTCAGGTGTCACAAAATAACACAGGTCCCTTAAAGCTCTGATTCATCACTAAAAAATCATTACAACATGAAAGTGTTTTTAGTATTGCTTTCTCTCAACAATATAAACAGATGTAACTTTTAGACTCATTTAAATAACCTAACTTTAGAATTCACTTCAGTAGTTACATAGGAATGCAGATGTCTCATTCATGGATAAGTGACCTCGGTGTAAACAGAAATCCATGGACTGCCCTTGTGGCCTCTTTCTCTCTTTCTCTGGAAGGCACCACTGAAATAGAGATTGAGTTATGGGGTGATATGTGAAGGACAGGTAGATGATGTGAAAGGAACAGAAAGTGCCCCCCTCTCTACCAGAGGAACAAGGAAATCTTTCTGTATGTGGAACCAAAAGAAGGTTAAGGTAGCAGAGGTATGGGAGAAAGGGAAGACTGGCAGGCGCTGAGCCTATTTGAGGTAGGCTGAAGCTACACCATACAGATCTAAGATAATAGGAACGTCCAACAACCGTTGACTTTGGTTGAGCAGGTGTTTAGCTTTTTTTTTTTTTTTTTGACAGACTTGGCTGTCCTGGAACTCACTCTGTAGACCAGGTTGGTCTTGAACTCACAGAGGTCCACCTCCCACTGCCTCCCAAGTGCTGGGATTAAAGGCATCTGCCACCACTACCTGGTATATTTAGCATTTTTTATAGCAGTTCTTCTGGTTATAATATGGAGAACAAATTTCAGGAAACTGAGACAACACAAGGTAAGCATGTAGGAGAAATTTATAGTGAGCTATTTACTGTTGCTGGAAGTTTGAAACATCATGGTGGCTGTGGTTAAAAAAATATGGTAGATGGATTTTGAAAAATAACATCAATATTGAAAGAGTTAATGTCTAGAAGACATAGGTAGTAAGTGGAGGTGTCAAAGAGGACTGCTTTGTAGGACAGAAGGCTACTGGTACATTTACTGGCACCGGGAATCCTCAGAGGACCAATTTGGGATTAAGAAGAACCATGATTTATTTGTATTTTAGACATGATGATTCTTTTCAGGATTCTAAGTAGTGGCATATCGAGGAATTCGTTGGATAGGCTAGTCTGGAATTATTGAGAAAGGTCCAAGTATAGGTATAAAATTTGCATGTGAACAATAATTTAAGTAATAAACTGTTGCAGAATATTCCTTTACACTGTGTGAAGATATGTCACTGTGATGGGTTTAATAAAAAGCTAAACAGCCAATAGCTAGGCAGGATTTTGGGGCAGAGAGGACACTGGGAAGAAGAAGGCAGGGTCACCAGCCAGATGTGGAGGAGGCATGACATGTGGGATATGAGGTAATAAGCCATGAGCCACGTGGCAGCACATAAATTAATAGAAATGGGTTATTTAAGTTGTAAGAGCTAGTTAGAAACAAACCTATGCTGTCGGCTGAGCTTTCATAATTAATAAGTCTCTGTGTCATCATTTGGGAGCTGGCTGGTAGGATAGAGAAAGACAAACGCAACATCTGGGCACATATTTCCACATAAGATCTGAGAAAGCTTTAAAAAAAAAGTTTCTAAACACACAAAAATGGAGTCAAGTGCAACTCCCTAGTCCTGCAGTCTCTCATGCGGGCCATGGTATGAGACACTTCTCCTGGCCATTGCCTGCAAGCTTGATCTGCCAGCGTACCATGAGCTAAGCTATGCAGCAGTTTAAGTGTTGCTCATGCAGACAGAAAAGGTTACAGATAAAAGCAAATCCAGACAGAAAAAAAAAAAAACCACCTCTAAACAGGTTACAGTGTGTTTAAAAAATGTGCATAGGCTTAAAAAAGAAAAGAAAATTGGTAGATAGTCATAGAAAAGAGTAAATCATTTATAAATAATAAAAAAGAATAAGCCACATAGAGATGGGAAATACATAGGGAGTCTGGATTATGTATGGTGTTGTATTGACTTTAAATTTTTTGTTGCTGATGAGCAAACAATACTTGCTGAGAGACATTGAATTATAAAACTACTAATTTAAACCAACCTATGTATTTTTAAAATGTCTTAACTTCAAAATATAGGTAAAAAATATGTTACATTGGGGAAGAGGTTATGCTTTTGTTTCCATAGGAAACAAAAGGCTGTGGATTTGTTCAAGGTTGATAGAGATCAGATTTGATTGGGGGAGAACCCCCGAAAATCCTGGTCACAGACATAAAAAATAAACCTATAAAAATTACAAGACAGGTGATGTATATTACCTGCTCAAACATAAAACAAAAAAAATCATCTTTGGCTGGCTTGTGTACAATGCACAGTCCACACTTGTGTTAATGCAGATATGTATGTTACCTTGTTATGTGTGTTACTGTGGAGGGGTGCTGCTCACTGACTTCCCCTGGCTTGCTCAGCCTGTTTTCTTATAGAACCCAGGACCACCAGCCCAGGGGTGGAACCTCTCACAGTAGGCTGGGCCCTCCTCCATCAATCACTAAGAAAATGCCTTATAGTCAGTTCTTATGGAGGTATCTTCT